GCCTCACAGGGAACACGGTCTAATTGCTGTGACTTTTATGTTGCGTTTTCTAATGACGAGAGATTAATTAATCCTTGAAACGAGTGTTTGAGCTACAAAGGATGGTGGCATCAAGGATCAAAGTCATCGAGGTCTACTGTGGCAGGATTAGGAAAACACGGAAGACGGATGGAGACAATCTGAGACTCCAGAGAAGAAAATCCTTCCAAGCTGCCACCAAAGTCTCCGCTGAATGAAGAAGTCGGCGCTCCTGCCACTGCGTAAGCTGACTGACAGCCACACATGTGAGGGTGGTCATGTGATATCGTGGTATTTCAGCCCCATACCTTGATTAAGAAAGACAAACCACATTTAGCATGCATTCCAGCAACAAAGCTCCCTCCGGGCAAAACCTGGACTGATAGATTCAGTCACAGTGAAAAGAAAGTACACCTCCTTTCAGCTCTAGGGTTTTACAAATCAAGCCATGAATTTTTTTTTAATGAGTTCTGTTATTTAACTGTAACATCAAATGTAGAAAAACACACAGCAACGTCCCTAATTCTTCTTTTCTTCAAGAAAAATCAAGCCAAAATAAAAATACTGTTTGTGAAAACTCTCTATAGCGTCTGATCAGAGAGAACCAATAACCAGCAACACCTCCCTCAATTCATCTCTATTAAACTGAATTCAATTCAGTTCAACTCAAAGTAATTTAAAGGGAAATTAGGTTTTGTTGTAACTAATATAATCTTATAATCGTTGTTGTGGATGGTGATGCTGTAGACAGGATGGTTCTCTGGTAGCAGTCACTCTTGCAACAAATTTGAAAAAGCCTCTGACGAAAGGCTGCTGTTGCCAAGCACTGCTAATCCACCTCATTTGCTTTTGCCACTCCCCTTTAAAGCTTTGTCTGGCCATACGGTTAGAAAGCTGAGACGTTGGAGTTGGGGATATGATCCTTGAATGTTATGATCAGTGGAAGAGATGAACTTCCTCCCTCTCTCTGCTTTGCATCCAGGAAGCTTCCTCTTTAATCCCTCAGGGATTTTGGTTCATAGTTCAGCTATAATAATCAGTTGCTCCCAGTTATGAAAATAATATGTTGTCGTCATCATAATAACTGTCAGAAAGTAAAAAGGTGAAAACAAAAATCCTTCCAGTTGCACTGCATCCAAAACCAGAGGCAATAACTGTCCACACATGCAACCTAAAAAACTGTGAGCAGGAACAAACAGAGAATAAATCAGAAACAAACTTACTCCAACATGCAGCCACCTTGAGTTCTAGAAACAGTTTTTCATGTTGTGGAAGGATTTTCGACCTCTACTCTTCCTTCAAATTAGCTTTCATTCAGTGAGGTTTGCTGGTATTCTCCTCATTTCCCCATGAAGCTCATCAGCCAGACTGACGTCTGGACTTTAACAGGGCCACTGCACAATCTTAATTTTGTTCTTTTTCACTCATTTTGTTGTAAATGTGCTGCTGTATTTCGGATAATTGTCCCGTTGATGACCCAGTTTGGATAGGATGATTTTATGAAGGACTCTTTATTATTCAAACACTGTTGTTGTTCCAGAAGTGGTTTATTGAGTTCCTACTCTACAAATCAATGTTTTGCTGCCATACTGTTTTTAAAAAGAAGAAGTTTTGTCACAGCAAAGCTCCCAAACAAGACAAGCTTGTTCAGATATTTCCTTACTCTCCTGTTATGTAGTTTAAATCTGATATGCTCACTAAGACTGATGTCCTGTAAGATAAATACCTGGAATGTGTGAAGGGTGTGTGTTTTTGTATAAAACATGTTTAAATCAAGAAAGAATACATTTAAAATGTCTTGATTTCATTGGTTATTTTGTATGATCACTGTGACTTTACCTGAAAGATTAAACTGATTGAGAGTGAGTAGATTCTACGTCTGCCTATCTATGAGTGTTTGACTCTCAATAAAAAAAATCACAGCGTTGGAACAAGTTTTCATCAAAACAACACAAAATATATAATTCGTCTCCCTTTGAGGAAAAAAATGGATTTGTTGCTTTTCTCTAGATCCACATGTTTCTGTTCCCTCATTTTTGTACGATTAATGTAAAATATTTAAGGCTTTACAGTAGAGCTGCGTAATATGTCATCATCACAATGTTTGGAGTGCAGTAACTGTTGGCTAATATATTCCAGCATTATGAACTTGCATTATTCATGCTAATGTCATATTTAGCCAGCTGGATAGTCTCACGGCGGACGCTAATGACATTACCAAAAATGCTAAAGGTCACAGAGAGATGGAAGCACAGATGAGAAAGAGAGGAATAAATAAAACAGGAAACTGATCAAATATTATCAACCATCGCAAAAATGTCTAATATTTTGCAGTCTAACAAGCATAAATATCAAATAGAGACAAAAGTCATACTGGTAGGTTTCACAGTAAGAGATAAGATCAGTGCAAACTGTCAACAAAATGGAAGGAGTGCAGCATAATGTAAGGTGCTGTTCAGGTCATCTGTTTTTATGTTGCAATATCACAGGCTTAGAAAAAAACACTATCAGTTTTTATCCAACATCATGCAGCCCTATTTTAACACCTAGTAGATTTGATATTAACTCAATACAATGGTATTTAAGAAACATCTACACATTATCTCAAAAGTTACGATTCATTCATTGTATTCTTTCTTAAATGTTTCAAACTCTGAGTCCTTTCCTTTGTTCCTCTACCGCCACCAACAAATGAAGCCATTCAATTAATCTGTGCTCCACTGACCCTCCAGAGTGTTCGTGACCCATTCAAACACCCGGTGGTGCCACCCTCTTAGGAGGATGACATCAGCGTGCTCGTCCAGTCAGCTGCTGCCTGCTCAGGTTACCTCCACCGACAGTGGAAAGGAGCGCTCATGTGCTGCTGACAGCTCCACTGCATCACTCTGCAGCAGTGCTGGCATCGAGCACGGAGGCCGTCTCTGCACCCTGCATGCAGGAAAACAGTCCAGCCAAGGCTTCTCCTAACGATGAGGTCTGATCCAGAAATATCAAAACCATAACACTCCACCTAGGCAGCTGAATCGCACAAAAACGTGATCATCATCACGTTAGGAGAGTCTAAAGAATGAACAACACCACAAACAAAACACAATAAGTAGTCCAACCTCTCGTGCTGAACAACAAGCTGGTATGTATGGCCAGACGGTGAAAAATCCACTTGAAATCTACAGCGACTTCCTAGTAAATCACACTACTTAAACCTTTTCACATTTTGTCACATTACAACCAAAAACTTCTATTTTCTTTTTAGGATTTTATGTGATAATTGAGAAATACAAAAAACTTTTTGGGGAAAGTTTCTACCAACTTTATCTAAAAACAGAAATTTGTTTCAACAAGTTGAGTCACACCAGCTGCGTTTACATCGACCATAAAACTGCACAAATTTGCTTAATGGAAACACGGCAATTTTGAAAAAACTTGTGTTTTTCTATAAAAAGTTTTTGCACTAGAATGAGGTGTTTTTTTTTTGTTTTTTTTTTTTGCTGCATTGAAGTTAGTGTATTTCGCAAAATTGCAATGGAAACACTTTTTATTGCGTCGCACAAGTCGTGATAAAAACTGAACGTTACTACTGGCAGAAAAGACAACAGGAAGTGACAGGAGAATGATGGCGCAGCATGTTTTTTAATTTGTTAACAAACTTATTCATGTGTGATTTTAATTAGAAACACCACAAATGCGAAATTTTATTTTTTCGAAACTAGCAGAATATTGGCAAAGTTTTGCAGACATTAGTAATGGAAATGCAGCTCGTGTCTGTGAAAAGCAATTTTTAAGTCTTTCCAAACATTCTCATTATTTTTAGGTCTGAACTTTGACTGAGCCCTCCAAACACGACAATGCTTGGTTCTAAATAACACCATTAAAACACTGTTTGGGCCTTTGAGAACCTCTAACCGAGTTTTGTCCTCACAAGTTTTCCTGTCTTTTCTAAAGAAAAAAACGTCCTACAAGGTTTCTACTAAAGTGCACATGAGGCTTCTTGTAGCTCTCTATCAACAATGTCTTACTTCTTGCCCTCATACATACTATTGATCATGTTTCAATTGCAATATATATTGTTATTGATTTAATGTTCAGCCCTATTTTAAAATATACTTCTAGATGATGACATTTAGGACCTTTCGATTTTGTCTGTCCTCTGTCTTTGGTTGTTTTAGCATAGTATACATCAGCAATTTTAGTCTTTTCAATTTAAACTACTTCTTTTACTTTCTAAAGCGCTGTGAGTTGTGCTTTCAGTTGACAGATTCTCCCACCTGAGCTGTGAATCTCTGCAGCTCCTCCAGAGTTAACACCAGCCTGCTATTTTTATCATTTCCAATATCCTGCAAATTAAGGTGGACGGCCCTGTTTTGGTAGGTTGCCGTACTCTGAACTGAACTGAACCTGATGTTTTTTAATAATTATTGGATTTTGTATTAAATTACACACAGTTTCCCCATAGGGGGACACCATATTTAGTTGTGCTAGGTTTTACTTAGGGGTAATAGAGTGGAAAGGGGCCTGAATGCATGTGCTCTCCTCAGATTTCTGGTTGTAATGTGAAAATAAAAGTGAAATACTTTTGCAGGGCATCATCTGCAATAGTTCAGAAAATCCCTGGGTGACGAAAATATTTGTTTACAAAGAAGAGTGAACAACTGCAGGCCTAACAGACATTATGCAGCAAAAAAGCAGCTCAGAGGAACGGTGTAGTAATAATGCTGGGACAGGAGGTGGTAATAAGCTACTCATTACTCAACAATAAGGTCAAACTAGCTCTAGATGTGCATAATGAAGCCATCTCTCTAAGCAGAGGCAAAAACAGACATATTCCGGGCAAGAAGTGCAGGTAACACCATGAATTACAGGCCTGGAGTGACACGATGTGATCGTTTTGGGGAGACAAAGGAGGAGGAGGAAGAATGGTGCTGCTGTTTCACCTGTCCTCTCCTCCGACTCCAAGCCTCACCGTCCGAAGCGACGCGACTCACCCAGGACTCCCGAGGAGCTCTGTTGCGGGGCAGAACCCGGCTCCGGCCTCTCCGAGTCCCCCTGCTGCGCTCGGTGTCGGTGGCGGGAGCTCTCGGAGCCGTCGCCGGAGGTGGTCGCACCCCCGGCGGCCGCAGCGCCTCCCGTCCCCGCGTCGGGCATGCTCTCTATCAGCGAGGAGAGACGCAAGATGAAGGTATTGTCCGGGAAATGAGGCAGCGGTGTCGCATCTCAGGAGGGAGGCAGCGCATGGGTGAAGGAAGGGGCTCTGTTAAAGGAGAGGAGTGAAAGTGAAGTGAAGGTTGTCGGTGAGGCGGCGGATCATCCTGGCGCGGCTCTGGAGCTGGATGCGCGGCTAGATGGAGAGAGCTGCTCGGATGAGGACTGGAGGAGGGACAAAGACAGGGAGGGCGGGGGGAGGGGGCTGGATGACACACTCATTCCACCTTACAGCGGTTCACCCTGTTAATTGACTATTGTCCTAGATTATTACAGCGGAGCTGCAGGTGTTACTCAAAAGTCATCTCATGCTGAATTAGACTGCATGGAAGCTGCAAACTAACTCCTAATAGTCATTTTAAAACATGCATGACCTTGATTTTCCATCTCCCACAGGCATGTAATAATATCACCCTACAGCGAACTGTGTAAGTAAGCCAGAAATAGAAATAGTTTGTTTGCTGCATGGCTCACATTGTTAACTGAGCAAAAATGTGCATTGTTCCTTCTACCTGGCTGCAAGAGGTCAGAGAAATGCGCATTTTGCTGTTTACTACAGGCAGACTTACCATTTGGTCTCATAACAACTACAAGCTTTATTTTATCTCATTAGTATTTGATATGATTGACAACGACAAAAAGTAGTTAAATTTACTTCAACGCAATTCAAAAATACTTTATTGATAACAAAGGGAAGCTATAAGTCATATCCAAGTTTTCTTAAGGGTTTTTGTAGATGCTGATTGGTGTGAGCAAGAAGGATCTCCTATAGCAGTCTTGTTTACTGCGAGTCTGAAGGAGCCTCTGACTGAAGACACTCAACTGTTTTTGTATGACCATCATGAACAAGATGGTCCATGATTTTCTTGATTTTACGAAAAAATCTTCTTTGCAACATAATCTCCAGATTCCACAGTTGTTCAAGTAGTTGTGAATCAGAACAAAAATTATGTTTTTCTACAAAAAAAGTACGTTAGGAAAAAGTTGTTTTAAGTCACTCAGAGTTCATTTAAGTTATTATTACAAAGGTTTTCTTAAAATAGAAAATGTGCAGCACAAAGTTGTCATCATATATCGACCACTTTCAATTTAATTTGATATTTTTGTTTTCAGGGAACTTATAACATAAATAGAAATATTCCTGTCTTGGATTTGATCAGTGTCGTTTTCTGGACCATTCCTGCATTTGTCTAACAAATATTAATAGAATAGATGTTGTGTTTTACGGAACCATATATTAAATTAAAACATAAAACAATAAAATGCCCAATATTATCACCAAAAGAAAAAAAAACAATTACATCTACATAGATTTAATTTTAAATTTAGAGAATAAAAATAGTCATCTTTGGCAGAGTAGTGGACTCTTCTAGTCTCTATCACTTTAACTATCTCACCCTTTCCTGGAAAACTAAATAGGCTATATGATTTATTTATTAATGCAGAAATATAGCTGTTTATTAAATATTCATCAGTGTCCAGGTAAAAGTACAAGTACGTCACTTTCCAGTTCACCAAGAATGACAGTGTGCAGATTGTTTTTAAACTGCTATAATGTGTCTCATTAAACATGTCTGAGGACAAATATAAATTGTATTATTGCAGAAAAGTGTGTCACGTTTGCTCAGATATAACTGAATTTGTAGTCTGTCGTCTGTCATAAGACAATATGGTTTATGCATTAAATACATATACATCAAAACAAATACTTATGGTACAGATCATATTATTTATGTATGGATCTGTAAAACCACTGATGGAGTTGGTAAACTGCATCTCAGGTGTGCATAAACAAACAAATATATATAATTATTCTTTACAAGGAGAATTTTGTCATTACTAATGACACCCAAGGTGTCATTTCAAAGTGTTGATACAGAACTCAGCAGCTGTGAGGTAGCAGGTGCTTAATGCCTTTTGCTCACATAGAGCATGCTATAAATTATAAATTAAGGTTAAAAAAATTCTCCCAAGCCTCATGGTGTACCTGTTCTGTGTGGACACAATGAGGAACCTCTTCCATTGTGGTTCTCCTTGCAGCCACTCCATCAGGTTGACGGCCCTCCCCTTGGTATCATGGTTCACAACTCAGAGGCAAGTCCAGTTGGAGCATAATTTCTGCTTACTCACCAGCTCAGAGGGTTGACAGCTGCAAGGCTCTGCAGTGGGCAACAAACACACATCAGTGCACATGAAGTCGGGACTCTGTGACTTTATTCTGCGGCATGCACGATTGTTGTGTGTTTAAGAACTGATGATTAAAACACTGTGAATTACAGAGACAGACTGATGCAAGCCAAAACCATAAGTACACAAAACAAAGGATTCAGCTTTAAATGATTTTGATTAAATTGAAGTCTAAGAAAACAGACTAGAAACACATTCACTGCTTTCAATTGCAGATTTGGAAATGTTCACCACTCTTAGCTCTGTGTCTGTTGATTTCCGTTTGGTATAATGACTGACTTATGTGAATGATGTTTCATTCATGAGGTCATATGCTTTTTGATAAAAACATAATAAAAATGCTTACTATCACTTTCGTTTAAAGATATTTCATATCATGATGTTAATAATTTGTTTTTGCCTGATCAGTAAAAACCAAACTAAATTAAAGGTTCCTTTTACCATATTGGCAATACATTATTAACTTGTCCTGTTGACATAAGATTTTGACATCATAAATTGAGCAGAAAAGAGAAAAAAGAATTAATAAAAAAAGAATAGCTCCTCCCTCTCCACTTCTGTTGTATGGCCCTGCTGCGGCGAACTCGCAAGAAATGGGGCGGAACGTTTGAGGAGAACAGTATTTACGGACCTGATTTTCCGATGCACAAAGGGCGGGACTCTGTTGATTAGGTGAATAGAAATAGAGAACACGTCTGCGTAAGAAAAGTGTTGACCAATCGCAGGCATTCTAGAGACAATAACACAAAAGCAGGAAGAACACGCCGACAGCATGGGTCTGCTAGTTACTGAAGGTCCCAGATTGTCACCTGTCCGGATGTTAGCAAACATTTTGCTCTCATTATCACCTGTTTGCAGTTAACAGGTTAAAATGTACCGATGATGAAGTAAATCTCAGATTACTTATTAAAATGCCAATAAATTAAATTTTAAATGTATTATTCTGCAATAATGCTGCCAGTTTCAGCTGTCTGTGGAGGAATATATAGAGCTACGATCCGCACACTTAGGACAAGGTTTGTTAAATGTTTATGCTTTATTTGTATAACTCAAACTAAATGTAAACAGGGGCGTTGTGCTGTTTAAAACTATAGAAAATCATTCACGAAGGGACAATGCTGCTTAACAACCGTAAGCTGTTTATTTTCCCCCGCTTTGTCAGTTATTTCAAGTCACTGTGACAATTTTTAGAGTTAATAAGACGTTAAAATTCAAGAGATGATTCAATGTTGTGTCTGCACATCACAAACTATTAAAAATAACCTACAGACTGGCGCAGAGATTTAATATGTTCCGATTTCTTTGGCTTATTCCTTTTAAAACTCCAGGGACACAGCACAATGATAAAATAGGGTTTTAGCACTATTTCCAAAGAGGTATTTACGTATTTTAATTACATTTTCAAAAGAGTTGAATGTCAAAACAAACTATTTAATATAGTTTGACAAAATAATCAAAATTACATTCAGATCACTTTTATAGGCTAAACACATAAGGCAGCAACAAAAGAAGAAATTCTGGAGGGTTTTTTTGTCATTGAAAAAAAAAAAAATATATATATATATATATATATATATATATATTAAAGTTGGGATCCAATAAAAATTTTTACTGACACTTTTGTTTAAAGATATTTCATATTATAATAAGAATTAGTTTTTGCTCTAATCACTATTGAAACAGTACAAATATCCTGTAAAATTAATCTTAATTTATACTTTAGGTTTCAAGTCCATCACACTGTAATAAATAATCAGTAATTTAACGGTAAAATGTATTGTATGTTTGCTAACATCTTGTACCCAGACATGACTAAAGAGTCCAAATAAAAAACCAGGTTACATTTACCTTTCCTCCTGCAGAAACATCCCTCTGAATCGCCGTCTGTCCTCTGGAGGCAGAGTTCTGGCTGGACTAGCGGATGCTGACACCATCTTCGCTTTGTCATCAGGTCATGGCAGATGTGGGGTGGCAGTGGTCCGCATCAGTGGTTCTGCTGCAGCCACAGCATTAAGATGTATGGTTGGGCTCGGAAATCAGCTGCCTCCTCCACGAACTGCGCTGTTACGTAGTATCACAGACCCCCACTCTAAAGAAGTACTGGACCGCGGATTGGTTCTCTGGTTCCCAGGTTAGACTCTTCAAACTCTTCAGATCTTGTTTGCTTGGTATCATTCTGGCTGTGACATAATACTTCAGATTTAATTATGTAAAACCGTTTTCTCAGATGACAAAGGAAATGGTTTCAAATTATGGAGAAGTTGTTTGGGTACAGATGTGAAAAAGCCTTAAAATAAATTGAAAGTTTATTGCAGTAGCATAAACTCAAGTGAAATGTGTACTTTTACTTAGAAGGTAAATAAATTCCACATTAAGGAATCTGAATAGATTTTACAACCTTCTTTTGGTGACACTTAGTTTTTTTTTGTAACATGTTTTTTAAGGTTGGATCGCACACAGAGAAAGATCTATCTAGATCGTTCTTTCTCTTATGCCTTCCTCTCTTCAGGTTTTCTGCAGGATTACATGTTTTTGTTATTTTATAGCTTTTCAATAAAACATTTATTTGGAATTTGTTGGAAGTTTTGTTATTTTGTTTTTCTGTTTTCAGCTCCTCATAGTTTCACTGGGGAAGACAGTGTGGAGTTCCACATCCACGGCGGTCCTGCTGTCATCACTGCTGTCTTACAAGCTCTGGGTAAACACACTTGCTCCTGCATCTCTATGTATCACAACATGACCCAGGATTATAAACTGTACAGTAGCGCTCGGTTTCAGAGAGCCAGTGGCTCCGTCTGCGGGTATTTATAGCCTCACTTTCTCAAGCGCTGAGCCTTTAGCGTGATTATAAACTCTCTACGCTTCAGAGTCATTTCTTGGACTTAAAAAGGAAAACTGACACCGGCATCAACGTTTCTTAGGTACTTAAAATATATGCTCTGGCAGGCATGACGGGTCCTTTGTGATTTTCAGAGAATGTTTCTCAGCAGTTCCTCTGTGAACTCCATAGAGGGCAGTGTTGTTCAAGGCAAAGTGGAGGGCTGCTAGTTCATGAGCTGTGGGATTTTTATAATTCAGGAATATTTATATGGTATGATCCATACTGTGATATTTATCCATCCTTCCCTTGTCTATACGCACTTATCCTTGTGGGAGGAGGGAGGCTGGTGCTTTTCTCCAGCAGTCATTGGGTGAGAAGCAGGTTACACCACAGGGCAACATAAACCATGACTGCACTCAGTGACAGCTAAGAGCCTTTTAAATTAAACTAAATTAACTTAACAGTCATGTTTTTGTACTGTGGAAAGAATCTAATAACTCTTTCCTATATAATATGTTCTCTGCTGTGTATTTGTCATGCATAGTTTTGTCTTCCCTTTGGTCCCCTAAAGCAATTTGGAAAACAGCTGAACGAACAATGCATACGCAACCTTAGTTAACCTGCCTGTCATGATGCCCTGCTGGCCTTTGATTGTCCTGTGGTTGTGTGTGTACGTGTTTTGTGTGCATGATGCATGCATACATCATGCCGTTTCTTCATTTTTGTTAGCGTGTCTGTGTGTGTGTGTGTGTGTTTTTCAGGAAGTGTGCCTGGCATGAGGCCTGCTGACGCTGGGGAGTTCACTCGGAGGGCTTTCCACGCAGGGAAGCTCGATTTAACGGAGGTAAGTCAAAGGAGAGCATAAAAGCACTCTGACCCTGTGTGTTTAGGTTTTGTTAGTCTGTAGGGTGAAGAGTCAAATCTAAAGAAGCTGATCCCAATGTATGAAATGTACCAGAAAATTTACCCTCTGGTGTTTATTTCACCAGGTTGTGATAGACTCATGCATACGTGCAGCTATTGGGCCTTTATAGATTAAAGGTGATGCTCTAATATTCGCAGCTTTGTGTGTTTATGAAGCTTTACTTTCCTTTGAAAATAAACGACTAAGTACAGAAAGATTTCCCAGATAAAAATAGACACTTTCATATTGTCTAATTCAATCTTATATTCTAATCCAGTTATTAGAAGGACTTTCTGTAACAATATCTACTTAACTTACGTATATACTATCATAAATATTTATATTTTTATAGCATTACCTGCAGTTAGGCGTATGCAGTTGCTAAGGTACCACATATTATATTAACTGAAAAAAGGTTTTATTGCTATAATTCAAGTTAAGATTTTTTTTCATAAATTTAGTTGCATCTAAATAGAGAACTTATGAGGCACATTAAGAGAGGACATTTTATAAATCCTGTTAATGTGGATTATACTGCATAAACAAATGTAGATAAATGCAGATGTTTCGTAATAAAAACATACAGATCTGTAATTCTGGGTAACTCTGCTTGAAGGTGGAGGGACTCGGGGATCTGATCCATGCAGAGACGGAGGCTCAGCGGAGACAAGCTCTCAGACAGATGTCAGGAGAACTGGGACGCCTCTATCAGAACTGGAGCCACAGACTGAAGCGGGTGAGTCAGGAAGCCAGACGGGCAAATTTAAACTACTGATGGGCCACAGAATTCATTCATTTACAAATGCAAAAATACATTTGTTTTCTTTACTTTTATCTCCTCAACAATAAACAATTTTTTATGAAAGAAATTTGTAAATCATTAAAGATACAAGACATAAAAAGTACTTTGAACTGTTGCTTTATTAGAAGAAAAACACACAATTTCCAAATATTTTATCAATCAATATAATATCAATTGTTTTCTATTTTGTTGGCCAAATGTTTTACTTTTCTTCACTTGTGGTAAGGGGCCGAACAAAACAATTTCAAGAGCCACAAATGGCCCCCGAGCCACACTTTGGACTCTCCTGAGCTAAACCTTCTGATAAGAGTCAAGAATGGATTTGTGAAAATTAGGATCCAGTTCCTCTTTATTGTTACTATAAAGCACTGTATTTATATCTGCTGTAGTGTCTTTTCTTTTGAAATAATAAAAGTAAAATTAGATTTACAGTTGCTAAACTGAATCACAAAATAATTTGAAATGTTTTAATTTATTTGTAGAGACAAATAACACATTAATAAATGTTTATGTAAATGTGCCAGAATCACCAAATTAGCTATTTTTTCTTTTTCTTTGCTGAAAAATTTGTCCTGCTAAAAACAAACAATAGGTTAAATTTAGTACAAATTCTGTCAATAAATACAGTAAATTCAGAATGATAAATACAAAACAAAGAAAACCACCATTAAGTTCTTATAAAAAGTATAAGAAATAATTAAATCTAATTTATTAAAATGACAAAACACAAGTGGTCACATGGTGGGATTAGGTATAGGTGATTAATATTGTCTTGCTTGGCCACTTTGATTGGTGTTGCATTCGAAACTTTGTGGAATCCAAACCCAACATATCAAAATTTAGAGCAATATTAGATTTAAATGTGGCTGGATTTAAGATGCTGTATGTGTTGCACTAAAACATGAAGCATCTTTCAAAAAAACAACCTGAGCCTTTCCCTGTAGGAGCTATCTATAAAAACACTTTCATGACAAAATTGTTGCATAAAAATGGAGATTATTGAAGTTATTTAAGTGTCTGGAATAAAAAGCGAGCTGAACTCTTTGCTTTTGTTATTGTTCTGAAGAGAGTTTGGGGAGAAGCGGTCCGTGTCAAGCTGCAGGTCAGACCTCAGTGGTTTCACTCCCACACAAAGCTTTTGTTGTTTTTGTTTTTATCTCTACAGCTGCTCTTAAAGGAATCGGAGACTTCCTGTTTTTATGTCGCTGTAGGACATGTAGTACGTGTGTTTCTAATGCCAACAGTCAAAAAACTAATCGATAAATACGCAATTATTTTGCCACTTCTTACCCTGTTACTTTATGCTGAAAATAACCACAGATAGTAAGAGATTTCTGTTTCTGTATAAAAACTGACTTTCTACCTGTCACTGTTAAGTTATCAAGGAAACCTGCAGTTAAAGTGCAACACTGAATTACTTCTATACAGCATTGAATTTTACCTTCACTGAAAAAACTAAAATGTTATTTTCTGTTGCATAACATCTGACTGTGCTTGAAAACATAATCATGTTTGATTTATCTGATACTGCGTTGCAGCTGCTTTCATTCCCATTGCGCTGCCCTGTCAACAGATTCGCTCACCTGAGCTGTAAATCTCTGCATCTCCTCCAGAGTTACCAAGAGTGTCTTTACTGACTCGGTGACTAAACCTCTCCTTCCCTCAGTAATAAGATAAAGCTTTTTAATTTCTCATAATTACAAAACTTTCTCCAAGATCAGTGGGATTTATACTGACATTCAATTAAATCGCTCTATTTGCTGATTACGCAACCATCATGTTACGCTATTATGTCATTTGTAAAAATTGTATAGAACTTAAAATTTGTCTTTCAACGTCTCGGTTATGTACTACTTTGTATTTGTCAATCACGTAAACTCTCAATAATTGCTTTAGCGTTTACAAAAAATTTAAAGGTTTAAAACTTTTGCAAGGCTCTCTATTCTATGAAGTATCATAATTTTTATTCTGACACAAATTTTACTTTGAGAAAGTAATAAAATTATGAGAAAAAAGAAGCTTTAATAAGAGCAAAGCTTCGATATTTATCAGCATTTGATGTGGCCATGACCAGATTGGCATCTCTGTGTGATTATTTCTCAATGACAGACTCAGTTATTTGCACAGTCTGCTACTGGTAATAATTTTATGTTGATGTATTGAAAGTTAAAATACTTCCATACTTGTAAAACCAATACCAAAGTATAACTTCACAAGATTCTCATCATTCCTCATTTTAATGCAGTGATTTGACGTTTTGTGTAGGAGTTCTCATAAAATTTCCATGTTATTCTTCTAATATTTCTGCCTTATGATGATATTATTGTGACTTTTTCTGGCATTATCACAACTTTATTGACCCAAGTTTTCATTACACCTTTATTCTTGTAGTATTATGACTTTATTGTCATACAGTTTTATTCTCGTAATATTATGGCTTGATTCTCGTAATTTGAAAAAACAAAATTTTCTTAGTGTGCCCCTTATACTCTGTCATAATATTTAAGGTCAACTAGAAACAATAAATATGGATCTATAATTTACACTTCTGTAACAAGACCATGCACAGGTCCAAATGCACGACTGAGTACTGATGATGACTGAACATCCTCCGTATTTTTTTCCTCCTCATTTTTTTAAGGAGTCGTCGGATGTATGTGTTTCTCATTTAGATTTAATAGTTACAAAAGGTGAGTTTCTCTCACATATCCTGTGAAAGCAGCTTAGCACAGAAGGTCAGTGACCGCAGGTGAATGGTTTCATCCCAGTGGAAGTTGGCCAGAACTTCTTCCACTGTGAATGGTTTTGGCAGCGGACACCACCAGCTGATCCAGGTGTTCTCCCCTGAGAAGCTTTGTTTCATCTGCTTGTCAGCAGCTTTGGTTCCTTGAAGCTGGACATTCGGTCTGTTATCCTGATTTCTGAGAACACAGCTAATCAGCTGTATACAATCTGTATGATGACAGGGGTCAAATCTTTATCTGACACCTAAACAATGCCACGTTTTTAATGGCTTTCCATGTAACTCAACGGGGCAAAGTGCTGGAGTCTGATGCTTCCTGTTTTTCTGCAGCTACTCTACTATTGTGTGTATGTTCCTTAATGTTTATCAAGATGCCGATCTGGTTGGGGTGGAAATATCGAAGCATTTTTCCTTATGTACTTTAGATTAAGATTAGAAAGAACCATGTAGCACCGAGGGAAAAATTCATCAAGGATTTGAGTAGAAATGGAGAGAGATGAGGCCTGAATCACTGTCAACGTTCCTCTCTAAAAATACATTTCAATTTTGACTTTTTTACGCCAGTAAATGCATTTTTAGTGAGGAATCATTTGCTTTAAAAGTTTGGGTTTAAAAGGGGTGACAGGCAGCACTGGAATAAAACTCCTTAAATCAGTCGTGATTCTAACCCTGTTGTACTCTTTGCTTTGAGTTTTGACTCCTCCTTCTTTCACTTCTTTCATTGTTTTGTTCCTGTCTGGCAGTGAGACATGTTTGAGTTGGCATATGTGATTTTATGTCCTTCTCTGGCATCTGTTTTATGGGGTACCACAAAGTACAATAATAGGCCCTCTCCCATTTCTTTTTCTCTTTCTTCCTTTGTGTGACATTTTGAGGAAACACTGGATGTTTTTCACCACTTGTTTATGATTTTCAGTCAAAAAAATATTTTAAAGCTGAATTTTTTTTTTTATTTATTCTGTTTATTTTTGGTCTGATTTTTTTAAAATCAAACTCTTTATAAGTCTGCAAGGGAGCAAATACTTTTATACAGATCTTTATTTTCTTATTTTCTGAACATTATTTTGTGCTTAGAGATAATTTAAAGACCCATTTAACAGCTGATTAAAGACATAAAACACTTTAAGACAGTTTAATTAAATATCCTGTTCAAAGCCACACACAGTCATATAGTCGACCATGAAGTCCTTTGCCTGCCAAAAATATTTAAGGTTCAAATGTTATCTTGTCTAAAACTTGTTAATTATGTCAAACAATAACTAAAAAAACAGAGTGGTTGACAAAGAAGAGAAACAAGGCGTTTAGCTTAGCTGATTAAAATCTTTTGGCTGGCCATAAATGAATTAACTGGAAGAACATTGATGGCCACATTTCCTCCACAGAAACATGTCAAACAATAAGGCTACAGTAAGGATAATTACTTCAAGTTATTACATGTGCACATGTTTCTGCAAGCGACTGAATTGGGGTTGGACTTTGTTTTTAACACATTGCATCTTGAACTTCAGCTCGTTTTGGTGAATTACACTCAGTGTATTAAGCAAAGTATAAGTTATAAGTTGTGTGTTTCTCATTTAGACCTGGAAGAAACCAGGTGTGTTGTTTTGTCTCCAGTTAGAAAGACAAATATTTTAACTTTAAAATGATTTAATGACAAGTCAGTTAAAACATTACATGCTAAATAAGAAACAATTCCTTTGATTCCATTTATTAATTAAATAATTTGTGCTTCTAAACCTCATTTATGTATTTTTGTACATTGCAGGTGTTGATATTAAAATGGATCCCCGGCGAGAACATGCAGAAGTATTCATACACCTTAAACCTTTGTAACATTACAAGCGCATATTTTAATGTATTTCATTGGGATTTAATTAAATAAACTGACAGAAATTAGTAAATTACGGTATTGCAACTCTTTTACAAATAAAACATCATGGAACAGGTAATTTGCATTTGATTTCTACCCCTTTTACTCTGATACCTCTAAATGCAGTGCAACCCATTGTCTTCTAATTTAAATGTATTGAAGTAGGTGATTAAAGTACAAAAACAAAAGAAAAGAGGTTTGAATAATTTTGTCATTATTGCACTTTATAATCCAGATCAATTTTGCTCTTTTGTGTTTTTCTCACATCTTTTCTCTGTTTCTTGACATTAACGATGTATAATTAGGCAGATGACTGTTTCTGGGACTATCATGATGTCTTTTTTGTCCATGTATCTAAAACAGCCTCTTCTTAATGCTTTACTCAGACTGTTTCTGCCTCGTTTCAGACTTTAGCCCATGTCGAAGCCTTTATAGACTTCAGCGAGGATGAACTCATCGAGGAAGGAGTTTTAGACCAAGGTGTGTATGAATGACAGCTGATAACTGCCTGGTGTGGATCCTGCGGGAGATTCACTTTGAGCCCCATAACTCAGACTCTTTTTAACTTACTTTAGATTTTGAAGAACAATTAATTCAGTTCAGCCCAGCTGAGTGAATATTTTGCAGGAAAACTTTTCACCACACTTTCAGTCCAGCATCAAATTTTAAGTCTTGTTGGTGATTATTGATTGAATTTAGGTGTGAGATAACTAAGCTATTTTAACTTTTATGTCTATTGCTGCTATCCTGTCAACCTCTGTCCTGGTCTGAAGAGGTTTTGTCAGGCTTTATTCCAGGATTCAACTAAATTCACAACTGTTGCCTCAAGAAACGCTGCAAGATCCATTTTATATATTCCCCAGATAAATTCAGTTGCATACATTCTAATTCAATAAACAGGTACGTTTCCTTTGTGAATTTGTAAAAGATTTTATCTAAGGAAACACCCTTCGATTTTTTTTTTTCTAATATTCTTTCAACAGGATTTATCCTGATGTTAAATCACACACTGGCAGCTTTATCCACTGGATTTTATTTATCTGTTCCCGAGTGAAGAAGGTTTAATATACAAGTTAGAAGAATGTGCTGCGAGTAAATTGTATAACTGCCCGAATCAATTGTATAGCTTTCTGTTTTTATAAGAGTCTGTGCAACTCAAAGCTTAACAGGCTCTGAAGAACAACAACTTTAAAGCCCTGAAGTGATTCTAAACCCTCCATCGTTGGCTGCTCTGCTCAGTGACTTTTTCCTCCTCCATTAGTGGACATATCGGTGTGTGATCTGCAAGCAGAGATCGAGCAGCATCTGAAGGATGAGCGGCGAGGTGAGAGGCTTCGCAGCGGGGTCCATGTGGTGATCACTGGTGCCACCAACGCAGGGAAAAGCAGCCTCCTCAACACACTCTGTAAGAGCCAAGAAAAGCAGGACGCATGACCACACATGATGGATCAGCTTAAAATGAGTCTGCTGAAACACAAATACAGACTTACTGTTAAATCACACTTGATTTATTAGGGGAAAAAAGCAAAATCTGTCAACCTAGCATGGACTCGGAGATGTTTGAGCCATCCACAGGGGTCCATATAAGAAACAAACAAACATGCTTCCTTTACAGATTAAATAAAATGTCTGAGTCTGAAGTATCACTCTGTGGAAGTAGACACAAGAATCTGTGCTACTCTGATAAAACCGTCGTCTCCTGTTATTGGTCACTAATTAGCTCTCAGAAGTATAAGACGTGTTAAAATGCTTGTTTATGGTCACATATACATTTAAGTTCAACTAAAATATATTTGAGTTTATGGCTTATTGTGTCAATCATCATTATTTGTTGTGCAGCAGATGGTCGGCTTATCTTCCACTGAATCGCCCTTACTCCTGCTTCCACTTGTGTAAACAACATGGTGTCAACATGAGACATTTGTTTTAATATTGCGTTAGTTTCCTGGAGTCATTTAGGAATGGTTTATATAAACCAATCCGGAACAAGAACTTGGCAGAGATTCGCTATTAGAATAATAATCCGGTTATCCTGTCCGGTTCTGATTCGTTGACTCTTTGGTTTCACATCCAACGTGCAGACATTAGTTTTGTAATAAATATTACATAACAGAGAAAAAACTTAAAAGATTAGTTTACATAGTGTTGCTCATTTTGATTTGATATAAAATCGACAAAAGTGAGTTTTCTTTTTCTGTTGACTGGAAAGGCTCAAATTACAAATCCATTTTTCTATCTGTCAAGTAGAAAAATGCCACAGTTCAATAAAAATATGAAATATACAGATAATTAAATAAAAACTGCTAGTTAAAATATGTAAAAAGCACATCTAGTTATATCAGTGTGTGATTATTCCCTATACCTCCTTTGCAGTTTGTGACTGAATAAGAAATGTCGCAATGGTTTCTGAAATACATTGAAACCAGAAGTGTACATACACTTTATAAAAAGATACATATGCATTTTTCAATAAAACAGGAGCTTACAGAGAATGCCCCAAACTTTTGGAATTTAAACTTTTGCCTTTAAAGAAAGTAACAAAATATTGCCTTTAAAAAAATCTTGCTCTCATTATTCTGGCATTTATCAAGTAAAAAAAATGTTAGTAATTCTCATTGAGTAAAACAGGAAAAATGTTTTCTGATTTCATGTCCGACACTTTTTACATAGTTTATGTAAACTTCTGCTGATTTGTGACTTTACATTTAGAAGGTTTCAAAACTACTAACTTTCCAGACACCAAGAAAAAAACATTAACTTGGCAGACAAATGGAAGCACAAAAAATGGAAAAATGTGAATTTTGCATAATAAATCCCCTTTTACAGCAGCTGACTGAGGGATATTTAATAGGAAGTAAATTTCTTGGTTGGAGTTATTGGACAGATGGCATCTTATAGTGGCAGCACACTGAGACTTATTGTCTTTAGTTTTAGTAGAAGTGATTGAAAGACCAGACTTTGTATTTTAAAACCGTTCCATGTCCAGTTTAGGTGGACAAACTTATGTCATACAGCTCTGGAAAAAATAACCATTAAAATGATCAGTTTCTCTGATTTTACTTTTTATAGGTTTATGTTTGAGTAAAATGAACATTATTATTTTATTCTAAGAACTATTGACAACATGTCTGTGAAATTCCAACCAAAGATTTAGTATTTATTTGCAGAAAATGAGAAATGGTCAATATAACGAAAAGATGCAATGTTTTCAGATGTCAATCAATGCAAAGAAAACAAGTTCATATTCATTTGAACAGCAATACTAAAGTTTTAACTCAGGAAGAGATCAGAAATCAATATTTGGTGTAATAACAATGAGGTTTTCAATGGGGTTCAGTGCACTGGGCTCATAGTTTTTTGTTATGGCTGTATATACAGTTGTTTGACGTCTTTACGTTGAGTTTTGTATTAAAAGCAAACATAATCTGAAAACCATGAATTGTCCCCATTCATGCCACATAAACAGCTCTGGCTCGTTCTGCCCTAAACCCTTCAGGACCTCTGGAAGGTATTTTGTGTTATCAGGCTCCAGGCTGTTTCCAGGAGATTCTTCAGGTCAGGACAGTTTAAAAGGGGGTCACACTTGTGTTTCCTGCTCATCCCTCAGAAAAACAATGAGCTGAAAGTTTGAGAATTTGGGGGTCAGGATGGTGTGTCGTTCTGTTCGTCATGTTGTTCGAGTCGTTTGTGTGTCAGTTTAGGTGTGTTGACAAGTTTTGAAATGTTTGCTCGTTTTATTGTTTGACCTGCTTGTAGAGGGAATATTATGTAAAATTGACTTTTCTTTTACTTTATATAATGTTATAATGTCATTCCCTCATCAGAAAAATACCTGGAGCGTTGAAATGATTCTTTAATCTCCCATGGCAACCATTTGCGGTGCATAAACGATAAACGCTTGCTTTCACAAAGCCTTCCCCACTCAGCTCCTCCAGACTAGTGGCAGCAGACACCTGGTGGAACTGCACATCTCATCACTGCTTATAAAACTTCTTCTGTAACTTTCCTCTAATTCAGAAGTTTAGATTTATTTGGTCTGGATTAACTGTGTTTTAAACTGTCTCGCCAGGTTTTCTGGCATTTAGCAAATATAAATAATTTTGATCATTCTAACTAAGCAAAAACAAGAAAAGTTTGGTCTGATTTAACTTCAGACAGTGAGGAAAAAATTATTTGTTTTTTATTTAGTGTATTTTTGTAAATATCTGGTTTCAGCTGTATTTTAAAATGTTGTAAACGGCTTAATAGAGAAACATTGACGTGCTGAAAGCAGAGTGTCTGGAAGAACAGGAGCTTCTGAAAGAGACAGACGCCCAATTTGAAGATGTTAAATTGCAACGCCAAATTTATTTTAACTCATATTTGTTATATACCGCGTCTTTATATCAACTGAAGGAAACTTGATTGTGCTATAAGATGGAACCATGTGTCTGGAAAATACATGATACTGCTCCTTTTAATCTTAATTTTGTAATAATGGTTGGGTTGAAAAAGTGCAATTAAATATTTACATACACTGCATAAAAAAACACATTAGCAAGAACTAACTAACTTTCCCTCAAATCAAAGATTTACTTGGTCAGTATCTGGAATAGCTCTCTTTCAAAGTGAAAATAGAAATAATTTTGATAATTTTAACTAAGCAAAATCAAGAAAATTTTGGTCTGATTTAACTTCAGACAGTGAGAAAAATGTATTTGTGTTTGTTTTCAACTGTATTTTAACAGTTTTTATTATTATTTATCCCAGGCCAGAGACCTGCAGCCATTGTTTCCCCCATTGCTGGGACCACCAGAGACGTAGTGGAGTCGGCCCTGGACATCGGCGGCTTCCCGGTCCTGCTGAGCGACACGGCGGGCCTCAGAGACAGCCCAGACCTGGTGGAGCAGGAGGGGGTTCGTCGGGCCAGGGAGAGGTACGGAGAGGGACCAAACCGAAACAGCTTCTTAACAAGTTAATTTCTGTTCAATTTAAATCCACACAACCAGAAAGAAATTCAATGCTAACAGGATAGCTCTACGTCACGATGTGTGTTGAATGCTGCCTCAGCAAGTGTATAATTTAGCAGAACAAATGAGTTTGGAGACCAAAGAAGTATGTTCTGGAAAACAAAGAAAGGAAGAAATAAGTCTTTTCTGTAATGTCTGTGTAGCTGCCACAGTTTATGTTACTGCTGAGCCACAGTTATAAATACATGGGACAAACACACCCAGGAGGTTATGCAATGAAGAGCCACCGTCCCTCATTGTGAGATTTTCAAGTGTTATGATATATGTTCATAATAGTTCACTCTTAGAGGCATCCAGTATTTACATCAGCGAAGAATACTTGGTGCATTTGTCATCACTGCTTTACAGAACGGACACTCAAGTGAAAAAATATACACAAGTTAAAACAATTAGTTGGACTGTGACATAAATATCCAATAAAATAAGCTGAACTAGTGGCTCTATTTTTATAATATGATTGATATAAAGAACTTTAGATGTCAAATCTTTTCAACGTATTCTGTTTAAATCATTATTTTCTTCCCTTTGAAAATGAATGTCAAGTGTTTCCCAAACTACTTGTGTTTTTGGCAGTCAGTCTGCGAAGAAAGCAATAACAAAAGATTTAGAGCGTGCTGCAGGGCTTAGCCTTCTGTTTTGGTGATAAAGGATGGCTTTTGATGCCAGATATATTTTAACGGCTCTTATAAAACAAAATGTTAGTGATTGCAGTGTTTTTACAAATAAAATGTAATAAAAAGAAACCAAAAGATTAAGAATAAAAACTTTATAATGTTTCTTTTTGTGAAAGTGTGTGTTGTTGGTTTAAAATGGGATTTGTGAGGCACTGAAAGCACAACCTAAAAAGAAGATATTAGCGCGATATTATTTGTTGCAATTTTTTCCACTTTTTTCCTACCTCTTTTACAAGAAAGCAGCAGGTTTTGCTAAAACTTTAGAAATAAATTGTAACTTCTTAAGTTTGTTGATTATTATTATTTTCAGGATTAGAAACACTGATATACAGCTCTAGAAAAAATTAAGAGACCACTTAAAATGATCAGTTTTTCTGATTTTATATGTTTGAGTAAAATAAACATGGAAAGTACATAATGTTTTTTTATTCTATAACCTGCTGACATGTCCCTGAAATTCAAAGCAAAAATTTTGTTTTTATTTCCAGAAAATGAGAAATGGTCAAAATAACCAAAAAGATTCAGTGCTTGCAGACCTCAAATAATGCAAAGAAAACAAGTTTATGTTCATATAAAAACAACAATACTAATGTTTTACCTTAAGAAGAGTTCAGAAATCAACTTTTGGTGGATAAACAGGATGTTTTCAATGGGGTTCACTGCAGTGGGCTTTTCATTTTTTCCAGAACTGAATTTACATAGTTCATAATGGTTGGCTCTTTTTTTAACCACAAAACCCAAAACATTGCCAGGGTAGGAATATACCCTAAAAAGTCTGCTATGAACATATTGGTTTTACATAAGTGAGACAGTAAGAGTTTTCAGCTATTGTTTGTGGAAAAAACCAAGAATCCCAGTTTTTTGATGCGCAAACAGAGCAAAGATTTTAAAATCCTCAAAACAAAATGGAAAATATTCTTCTTGTATTTAAACTAATATAATGATTTTAAAAATATTACTTTGTAGAACCATAACTGGATAGTAGTAAGATAGTATAGATAGTATTGTTATCTTACTATCTTTATTATCACTAGTTTATTTTTTTCTCTGTGTGTGTTTTGTTTTACATTTAATTTATTGTTCTATAACATGATTAAGAAGAATTCACAGGTATACAAGAGGTTGGTAATTATTCTGATGCTGTAGGTCCAGTTGTTATTTATTACTATTATTATCTGTAGATTTTCTTGTCTTGTTATGAGTTAGCTTGTAACCATATCATCTATGTATTTATTAGATCTTTAGCTGATAAAATATTTAGTATATTGAACAGGAACATGAATATTATAACATGGTTCTAATTACAAGTTTTTGATAACTATTGAGTCAGTAAGTAATTCATTAAGTTGAGATAAGGCGTAGGATTAAATAAGTGTTCACTTCTTCCTACTCCTTTTCAAACTGAAATGTAGTGATAAATTATTTAGTTCTTGGTTATGGGCGCATGTTTTCTCTGTCTTACAGTTTGCTTTTATTTCTTGTTTTTAAAAACCTGTTTGAAATAAATACATTCAGAAATAAGTTATCTTTAACTATCCAGTTACAGTTTGATCAAATAGTTTTATATCCTGATCTATCAAGCTGGCATTGGTAGGAAACAGCAAATGCTAACTTTAGCGTCATTAGCGGCTAATTAGCTAATTTGTATGTTTCCTTGCTCTCTGTTACATGTTGCTAAATAATCGATTTTAAAGTGCTGGGAGCTTCATCAAGGTTTTTCAATCAAATTATATCCATCAGCTCAACCAATCATGTCTGCAAATTTTAGTCAAAACTTTAGTTCTAAGTAAAATTTTGGAGGATTTGACATAAGTTAAATGACTTGGTGTAAGACAGTTATGAGGTGAATGATTGAATCACATAACTAAACTAACAACTTTGGAAAGAGCTAATTTAAATAAGAAAGAAAAACTTATGTGTGGAGTATGACATTTTAATTAACAAAACGTCATTTTAAAAAGCAAATTTCCAGAAATGTCAGACTAATTTTGCTTCAGTTAGGTGGCTCTATAGGAAGGGTGGGGACTTTGTGTTCTGTAGGAAGCCGGTTTGCAGGGAGCAGGACTGGAGCTTGTGACCCAGGTCACTACAGGAAGGACGTGGTGAATACAAGCATCCGCTGCCACTCCTGCTGCTACCTTACGCTTGGATGGATGCAACGCAGCGGCTTTTCACGCTGATTCCTTTCACAGTGATAAATAATAATGTATGCTCTCCCAGGCTTAAAATGCCAGATCTTTTCAGAAAATCTCTGCAGAAATGACTGGCAGATTCAATGAGAAGCTTCTCTAAATTAAACAAAACAATTAAGATGACCACTGTAACTACTGAAACTGAGTTGAAAATTTATTGACCATGTTTTTAGATGAATAGAAACAAAAAAGAAACAAATTACATGAAATCATACAGATGAATCTGCGTAATATAAAGACAACCTATTATATCAGAGGCTCTGAGATGATGTAAAACTTTAATTATTTCATATTTACAGTCACACTTTGTGCCTGCAGCAATGTCGATTTTCAGGCTCCTTCAACTGATGATAAGAGATTTAGGGACAGAAATTATAACAAATTATTGTAAATTAAACAACCAAAGAAAGTAAAAAATAATATGCTAGAATTAAAAGAACATAATTAGGAATGGGAGTATAAATCATCAGTGTTTTTTATTATTATTATTATTATTATTATTATTATTATTATTATTATTATTATTATTATTATTAATCACTGTGGGTTCTAATTCCTTCCCAGATCATAAATACTGCTGTGACAGTTGGCTAAAGCAATTCTGTGAGATAAAATGTTTTATTTACAGGGATTTAGCCGATACTGAGAATTTTAAAAGAAAATGTCTCCATCGATAACAAAAGCGCCATAAATGTTCTCCAGGATAAAACTGGATTTGTGTTTTCTGCAGGGTGCAGCAGGCTGATCTGACTCTGCTGGTCGTTGACTCCACCATCCTCCCCTCGGAGGAGCAGGAAGCTGCAGCGCTCCTGCTGGAGCACCTGAGGAGCGTCCTGTCCTCCCAGGACCAGTCTGGAGCAGGTACGTCATGATGACATCATCAAGGCGTTTGTGTATCTTTAGTAAAAGGTTGAATGTTGAACCATGAGTTCATTTGTGTTTGTGAGAAAAGCAAAAATACTTTCCTAAAGTCTGTCATTTAAAATCTCAATACACTACTGATACATTTGTGTTGGTTCTGCAGGCAGGTGTCTCCTGGTGCTGAATAAAACCGATCTGCTACCTGAGGCTCAAAGAGAGAAGCTGAACCTGGGGCTGAGAAGAGTCTCTGGACTCCCACCTGTCTGCTTGATTTCCTGTCAAACCAACGAAGGACTGAAGGATTTCCTCACTGTGCTGCAAAGCAGCGTCAAAACGATGTACGTTTTTTTATTTCATCACCACAAAATCAGTATTTAAAAAGTAAAGATGCTCGATATATCGGCGCCAACATCGGTATCAGCTGATATTGTTAATTTTGTAACACATTGATATCGGTCCGATAAATAAAACTGGGCCAGTATGAACAACTGGTATTTATTTTTATCTGTTTCTGGTGGGGTTTTTGTCCAAAGGCGTCAAAACGGATGTGAAATATATATAATATTTGTAAATATTGTTTATCGGCCACAACAGACAATATATGATATCGATATCGGCTTAAATTTACGAATCGGTGCATCTCTATGAAAAAGATAAACAACAAAATGACTATTTGACCGTAACGTACATCAAAGCCCGTCGCTATAAGGAATTAATCAGTTAAATGTGTGATAAATTAAAAATGAAAATGTAATTTCTGATGCTTAGTACTTTTTGAAGGGTAATTTTGTTTATCAATGATCAATTATCAATTTTATTTATGGTTTCTGTTGTGTGTGCTTTATATTTCTGTTTTTATTTATTGTTTTTGGTTGTGTTTAATTTTGAATATTTAAAATGTATTTCAGTTCCAGTATTGTTATTTACTAAATTAGGGAGTGAACTTGCATTATTATGCAGGAAAACAATATTATTGTTTATCTCAATAATTACTAGCACAGTAATTACTGAGATTATTAGTAATCTAATAACCTAATTACTAGGACAGTTTTTCGTCCATCAGGTTTTGTTATTGTGACAGACCTACATACATGTTTTAGGTGAAACCGTTCATGAATACTTGTTTTTCCTTTGTGTGCATCTTTCATGTACAGTAACGGTAAGTAAAATCGTGTTTGTTTTCTGCTGCTGATGAGCTTTTATGACTTCAACCCCAGGTATGTTATTCTTTGTCTGACTTTCTTCTGCAAACTGAAGCACAAAAAGTAATGATCATTTTATTGCTCTCGTTCGTTTTGTTCTCCTGACTTCCTCTCCAGGTGTGGTGACCCTCTCTCCGGAGCGCCCACGCTGACCCAGGCCCGCCACAGGGCCCACCTGCAGCACTGCGTGGCAGCGCTGGCTCAGTACCGGCGGTACCGCAACTCTGACCTCGCTCTGGCAGCTGAGGGCGTGCGGTTAGCGCTCACCAGCCTGGGGAGGATCACAGGACGAGTCGGGGCAGAGGAGATCCTGGATATTATCTTCAAAGACTTCTGCATCGGAAAATAAAGGAGCGAGAGTGAAAACAGAGAAGACAGGTGATCCCGGCCCACTCAGGGAGGAAGGCTGTTTTCCCACAGAACCGTTTAGTGGCTGGAACAGCCCGGGCTCTGTGCCATGCTTCAGGGTCCAAATAGTCGGCTCTGTGTTCTTGGCTGCTGACGTACCTCCGTTCCCAGGACAAAAATATTTTTTCTGGTGGCATTTTTTTAAAATCCAGCTGAAATAGTTTTTGGATGATGGCAATGTCTCAGGGGCCCAATATACTCAACAAGTGTTTGGCNAATGTTGAAACTGTGTCATTGAATCAATGTTGTTTTCTGGTTGAACTTTATTGATTGAAATGCCAACATCAAATCCAATGTTTTTCAGCACCGGTCCACCAGGCACACTGCCCTGCAAGTTTTAGGCATTTCCCTAATTCAGCACACATGATTTTAATTGATGGCTGATTAACAGGGTTTTACTGAATCGCACTCATGTAGGTCAGTTTGCCTTGAGGACCAGTGTTGGGAAAAACTGCTACAGAACTAGCAATAAGCAATAAGATCCAAAATTGGTAACACTTTATTTGACAGGGTGTGCATAGGACTGACATTACAGCGTCATAAGCATGACGCAAACCGTTATTAACATGAAGGAGTCTTTATGAATGTCTAGGACTGTTGTCATGAAGTGTCATTCAGTAAATAATTACAATTTTAATGCAAAGTTGTTTCAAAAATTTCATTAAAAGGCCCTTAAAACTGCCAGCTTTGGCTTATTTTTTTATATGACACTTTAATACAAATTGGCACTTTTAACGGACTTTCAAATCTGAGTGCCGATTGCCTGCCTCTGTAACAAGTCGGCTGCACTCTGTCACAGCGTCTTCCGCATATGGGCATTGTTCCAGGGACAAATTGCCCCGGCTTCATATAGATAAAATTAAATATGATTAAAACGTTTTACAGTTGTTTGTATTTTTTTTTTTTTTCAATTTTCTAGGGCTAGCAGAAAAGGCCCTCCTTGCTCTCACACTTCACAACTGTTATTCATTAAATATGCATTTAATAAGGATCCCAATCTCCTGTCTACATGTTGGTCTGACTCCAGTACCATTGAACAAAACAACTTCAATTTCAAAACAACTTCAGTCATCTGTGAGGATAATTGAGAAAACGAGCAATTGAAATCATATTCTTAACTGTAACATTGCACCAATTTGGATATCTTTTTGGTTTACTTCATTCTCTAAAATGGCTCTACTTTTTAAAATGTATCTCAGGGTTCTGTGTTATTATTCTATACTTTGAGCTCAACAATAAAGACCAATTAGCTGTACTATTGAAATCTTTCTTTTACAATAATCATTGTCTTTATGTTCGTAGAGCTGGATTCCCAAGATCATCAACAAAAGAGTGTGCACAACTTTTGTTGAAAACACTTTGAGGTAATTTTCTTTTAGTTTTTATTTTAATTTATGTTTTACTACAGAGTAGTTTTTGGTGTAGAGTTCTTAATGAGTGTCATTCATAGCAATCATGTCAGAACATTTCTGTAAAGAAAAGTGAAACAAAAAACCTTAAAAGTTAATTTAATCATTTAATTATTAGGTAAGCTGTAAAAGTTTATTCTTTTATGGTTTATCTGATCTTCTCAACCAAATAATTTGTATTTCACAGTATTTACTGTGCAAGCTAATCAAAAAAGCATTTTTATTTAAAGCACTTTCATTCTTCTTGATTTCAAAGTCTCTATAGGTATGGTAAAGATTTTCTAATTTGCTTGTAAATTCTATAATCCAGATCCACATGTGTTCTGACAGGTAAAAAAAATCTCCACGGATGAGTTCCAAAACTTGACAAATCTTTCCAAATTGCTATCATTTCCATCAGCAAATTGTCTTTTATCTTTCACAGTAGGTGTCCCCTTATTTTTATACATTTGGCTTACAAAATAACATTAACAACAACATTGGTGCTTGGTGTATGGAATGAAAATGGTTAGTATTCCTGGTCCTCAGAGCACACTGCTTGGTATGTAATAAACATGAACTTTCTTCCTTCTTTTAAGTGCTTCCCTGATGTCGCACACCTGAAACAAGTTAATGTGTAGGCTTCTGAAACACATGAAGGCATGCAGAAGAGTAAATGCGGTCATTTAAATCAGTGTGTTGGAATTAAGAATCCAACTGAGAATCTGTGACAATTGCTTGCAGACATCCTTGATCAGTCTGACTGACTTTAACCTATCTTGCAAAGATTAATGCAAAATCCTCAGTCTGTACATGTTGAAATACCTTCAGCTCTAACTGCAGTGAAATAGGCTGCAGTTGGTTCACGGAGGAATGATGAACATAAATATACAGACACTAGATGTTTACTTATATAAATGTTCCGAGGCATTGCATTATTTCTATTCCATGTCACACTTCACGTGACGTGGAATGACCTTTGGTACATCGTATCACAACTTTTAAATATGAATTACCTAATTTACTTTATTAAACATCAGTTTTTTCTATTTATGCCAAAAATCATTTTTTATCATTTTATATTTTTCACATCACTGTCCATATACTGTTGAGTATGTGGACAGTTTAACCATAAATAAATATATTTAGATCATGCCTGACCTAAGGTTTATTATTACATCTGAACTCTCCATGATGGGAGGCTGTATCAGCTACAGAATAACAGATTTATATTTTTTCTATGTGACAGTAACGGTGGACTCTGTCAGTGTGGTGGGGTGCGAGAATTGCATGACTCCGTGGCAACAGGAGACAACTTCGGAGCAGCAATTGTTACCCAGTGGGACAGCCAGCAGCACTCATCTGAATATCCTACAGATGCTTTTGGAGAGTTGGAGTTTGCTGGAGCTGGACGCAGACACAGCCATGTGTGTAGCATTGTCTCAGTATACACACAAATATTCACACACACAGAGTGGGTGGGATAAAGCCACTCTAACCAATCAGCACAGGTAGAGATTAAAGCTCTTCTTCTCCCCCTAGATTAACTTTAAATGACTCAGTCTAGTGTATATTGTCAGATCTATCAAATAATGGCCAAGCGGCATTAATTTTCTGTACACAATATACATTTCAAACCACCAATCCGCCTATATGAAAAATGATGTTTTATGTGATGATAAACAAGACAGAGAAAATTTCTGAAATCCTACCCAGATGTCTGTGCCATATGACTCACTATTTTAAACTTTCCACAATGTTGGGAAGCAAAAGTTGCTTCACTGATTATGTTTTTCAAGGTTTAATTCATATCTGTGCACTCTAGAGCAGCAAACTGTTAGAACTCCATCCATCATCATACATGCTTATCTCTAGTGGGGTCGCAAAGGGTGCCAATGCCTATCTCCAGCAGTCAATGGGCGAGAGGTGGGGTCACCCTGGACAGGTCGCCAATCCATCACAGACTACTAGAACTCATTCTCATAATTAGTCCTGGGTTGAAGTTTGTTTCCCTATTTTTATTTTTTACATCTAATAGTGGATTAAAACTGTTCTGTTTTTTTCAGTTTCTGCGTCTATCGTGTGACACACCTCCACATATCATCTACACTCTGATAACAGCCCATTGGGGCCTCCCCTCCCCCAACCTCGTGGTATCAGTGGTGGGAGGTGAGGGACATGAGAAGATTAAGCCGTGGGTGAGAGATATCCTAAGAAAAGGGCTGGTTAGGGCTGCACAGAGTACAGGTAAGAAATCATCACTCTGCATGGATCCAGCTTATGTTTAACGTGGAAACTTTGAACTGCAGTATTAATTAGTTTGAATGAATCCAGGATATCAGCGGATTCTTTTTCTAGAGTGCAGGTCTACTGGATAACAGGGACAACTGAAACTAAAATTATTCAAATTATATCATCTTAAATCCATCTTTAAGTCAAAAATTAACACATTTGGTATGTGGGTGGGGATAGATTATCTGGGGTAGGATAGGCTCACAAACAAAGCAGCTTTTCTCACTCTCCTGTGTGGCTTGTGGCAACTTCACTGGTCTGTCAACGTTCTAATTTTAACTCCAGCTTGTGCAGTATTTTATTTTGACAAATAATAACATCCACCTCCATTCTACCTTCTTCCAGCAAAGACTCTTTACACACATCTGCAGTTCAATCATCTCTATTGTAGTTACTTCAACTGAATCCCTAGCAGTGGCACAGTTAATAATTGTTGGTGATTTCAACATTCATGTTGACAATCCCCAAGACCGAGGGGCAAAAAAGCTCTGTAATATATTTGAGAGTTTTGGTTTAACACAACATGTCAAACAAGCAACGCACACTCATGGACACACATTGGACTATATATTTCTGTGAATATTTCCAGTGTCTCTGTAACTGATGTCGCCTGTCGGATCACTTTACTGTTATCTTTGAATGTTCTTTATCCGTTAACCCACTTGGACAAAAAGCTACTATCACAAAATGTTCTCACAGAAAACACAGCAGAAACATTTCATCAAATCTACTCTTCTTTCTCGCCCTTAAGCTATAATGACGTAGATAAGTTGGTAGATGATTTTCAGAACAAACTTTGAGACATCATTGATTACATTGCCCCCATTAAAGTGAAGGTTGTGTTTGGTAGGAAGAAATCTACATGGAGAAATGCACAAGGAGTTCAATCTGCAAGACAACTCTGCCATATGGGCCGAATGGAAATGGCGTAAAACTGAACTTCACGTTTATTATGACATCTATAAAGAAAGACTACGTAACCATCACACAACACTAAAACATGCAAGGAAGGCTTTCTTTGCAGATGTCATAAACAAAAACATTAACAATGCTCCAGCTTTATTTGCTACTGTTGACGGGTTCACAAACCCTCCTATGACGTTACCACCTGAACTTCAATCTAATGCCTGCAACAAGTTCTCCAGTTTCTTTTCAGAGAAAATTCAAAAGATCAGAGGATTAATCTGCACATCCACTCCAAAGCCAGTACCAATGCTATGCCCAAACAAAACAAATGCAGGAAAAATGACTTAATGACTACTTAATTATAAAACCCTAGAAGAAATTATAAGTCAATTAAGCTCCAGTTCCTGCTGTCTGGATGTCCTACCCACACATTTCTTTAAGAAAGTCCTGCCTGTCGTTGCTAATGATCTGCTCCAAATAGTAAACTCATCGTTGTCTTCAGGTGTTTTCCCCCAGACTTTGAAAACAGCAGTTATCAAACCACTGATAAAAAAGAACAATCTAGACAAATCACTACTGCAGAATTACAGGCCGATCTCCAACCTCCCATTCATCAGCAAAATTATTGAAAAAGCAGTTTTTAAACAGTTAAATAACTTCCTAACAATAATGAATCGCTTTGACTCCTTCCAGTCTGGTTTTCGTGCTCAGCATAGCACGGAGACGGCCCTTGTAAAAGTGTTCAATGATATCCATATAAATATGGACTGTGGGAGAACCACAGTGCTGGTTCTGTTGGACCTCAGTGCAGCTTTCGACACTGTTGACCACAACATTTTACTGAATCGACTGGAGAGTTGGGTCGGACTCTCCGGACCAGTGCTCAACTGGTTTGAATCTTACATAAAGAACAGGGATGTCTTTGTTTCAGTCGGAAACTTGTCATCAGAGAGGTCAAAGGTCACATGTGGGGTACCCCAAGGCTCAATCCTAGGACCCCTTCTTTTCAATATTTATATGCTCCCACTGGCTCAGGTTATAGCAGGAAATAAGATTAGCTACCATAACTACGCGGATGATACACAGCTCTACATCACGATGTCACCAGGTGACTCTGAACCCATCCAATCACTGAACAGATGCTTAGAACAGATAAATGTGTGGATGTGCCAACATTTTCTCC